GTAGGTATGAGATATTCTAAGCTCGCAGATCCTCACCTCTCTAATAAGCTCATCAAAGGCCACTCTTCATTGCTCATAGTGTCTAGCTCTTTTTAATCTCTAGCATTATGATGTCGTTCTTAGGAGTGCCATCTCTGCTTTCATTACTCATTTGTTCTTGCATGCTGTTTACGTTATCCATTAGAACGCTTAGCGTAATAATGATAGTTGTTTTAATTCCTGGTCTGCCATTTCCAACATCCCTGTCATATCTGGTTCTGATGCTTATTCTATCTCATCAAATTATGCGTTTTTGTTGTTTTTGTTTGTTTTTTGTTTGTTTGTGCCTTTCGTATGTTTGTGTGTGTTTTTGTTTGTTTTAGGTGTGTGTTTTTTTATAGCTCCACATAATGTACTGGGTAAAATGCTTGTAAATAGGCCTTTAGTAATATAGTGGTAAAGTGTGTAGGGAGAGGAAGCATTCTTATAGCCCTATGATTTGTTCTGTCTTTTAGTCTGAGGCATGCCTCTGGACTGTGAACTTCACAAGTATTTCTCAGCTTTTTTCTTCTGTGCTTAGGGTGGATGGTGTGGTCAGATAGGTTCTGATGACACCTGGCAGGTCAGGCTCTGGTTAACTAATTTCTCCTGGGGGCAGACTCTGTTAAAAACAGTGTGCTCCCTAATTTCAAAACGGTTCTTTTTCCCCTCTTCCTGCTGAAAGCGTTTGGGACTTTTCTGATATTTACCGTGGGGACCTGGTGGAGCTCCTGCAGGTGAATCTCAGCATTATCCACTGTGAGCTTCCAGCAGTTCATCAATTACAGTTCAGCTTTTCCTACCCCAGCACTGGTTTCCATGGCATTGATCACTCATGAGTCTGCTCTGTTGTTCTGTCTCTCCAGTCTTGGAAGCAGTGGTTTGCCTTATGTCCTTCTCTGTCTTACAGACCCAAGAAGTGTTGATTTTTTTTTTCTATTCAGTTTTTCCTTCTTAGGACAGAGTGGCAACTTTAAAGTGCTTACATGTAGAACCAGAAATCAGAATTCTGTATTACTTTTTAATTTAAATTTTAAATGCATAAGGAAAGACCTAATTTTATATAATAAATAGGATGACTCAACATTTTGAAAAGCTTAACTACTAATAAATTATGAAATTTTGGAATTGTCGTTTAAGTAGAAATTGTTTGTATTTTAGATAACGTTCACTCATCCAAGCCTAGACATTCAGGGCAGAAGCATAGAATATGCACAGCGACAAATATCCAAGGAATGTGGAGGCCTAAAGTCCCAAAATAAGGTAAGTTATCTTAGTTTATCTTCTGATAGGGACTATAACTAACGAACATATAAGTGAAGTTTTCTAGTCCTTCTAATTCTCTATATAGTTGAATTGTACTAGGGGAAAAAATTTAGTGTATAAGTTTGCTACATAAGTGCTTGTAAACCCTAATACATAAATTCTATCCAAATTTCTAGTGTGAGTCTGGGGGATATCAACAGTGTATTTATCACCAGATAGAACCAATAAGAATTATACAGAGTTAATTTAATGGACTTCACCTTTAGCCCAGACCTGGAATTTTTTTTAGTCCCAGTACCAAATATCTGGGGAATAGAAGTTTGCCCCAACCTGGGTCAGGTGCTTACTTGTAGACTAGTCGCTGTGTACAGGGACTGGGGCCAGGAGATACAAATGCAACTTCTAGAAGCCCATCTGAATGGGTAAATAAAAGGATCATTTTGATTTAGACCTTGTATGATTTATCTCCAGAAGATTTACTTTGCTCCTTGGCCTCAAGGAGACAGTCTACCCAGAAGGAGGGGTGAGGGAAGTTGTATGCATATGCATATGCATTTGCATTTGCATATGTATATGTATATGTATGTGGTGTGGTGCATTTTAAGTTATTTTCAGAGACCTACATAGCCAAGCTTTAAAAAGTATATGTCTTTGTATTAGTTTACTAGGGCTATCATAACAAAGTACAACAGACTAGATGGCTGGAACAACAAGAACTTATTTTCTTATGAGTCTGGAAACTGAAGTCCAAGGTCAAAGTGTTAGCAATTTGGTTTCTTCAGGGACCTCTCTCCTTGGCTTGCAAGTGGCCACTTTCTTGGTGTGTCCTCACAGGTCTTTGCTCTTTCATGCATATCCCGGTGTCTCTCTCTGTGTCCAATTTCCTCTTAAAAGTACGCCAGTCAAATTGGATGGATTAAGGTTCACTCTAAGGGCCTTATTTGAACTTAATGACCTTTTTAAAGTCCCTGTATCTAAATATAGTGACTTTCTGAGATAGTGGAAGTTGGTGCCTCAACTCATGAATTTGGAGAGGACATGGTTCAGCCCATAACATTCTACCCGTCTGGTCCCCTAAATTCATGCCTTTCTCACACGCAAAAATTCACTCCATCACAGCAGCCCCCAAATTTAACCCTTTCCAGCATCAACACTCAGTCCCAAGTCTCATCTAAGTTTCATCTAAATCAAGAGTGGGGTGAGACAAAATATGATTCATCCTGAGACAAACTACCTTTCTATCTGGGGACCTGAGAAGCCTGAGCAGTTACCTGCTTCAAACTGTGATTGTGGGAAAGGCACAGAATCGATATTTCCATTCCAAAAGGGAGAAACTGGAAAGAAGAAAGGAGTCATGGGTTTCTTAAACAAGTCCAAAACTTAGCAGAGCACAAATTTCATTAGATTTTTACGGCTCAGAAACAATCCTCTTTGGCTTGATTTTTTTTTTTTTCCTTCAGGGGGGTGGCCCTGACCCTGGGCTTCCTGGCCCACGGGAACTGAGGAAGTGGCCCCATCCTATTGAACTGAGGCGACAGCCCCAACATTTCCAGTTCTTCCCTTAAAAGATAATGCATGTTCCCAGCCAGATAGCTCTGTTTGCCAGTCCTGTAAATGCTATTACTTTGACAACCTTGATTCATTTCCTCTCAACTCTGTCCCCTTAGATCCAACCTGGCAGCATTTCAGCTGAGATGGTTGATAGGATCTATGAGTCACACCATAACCTCTTTATCCTATGATTATCTAGCCACACCTTTGGTATTTTCTTCTTTTTTATCCACACCCGAGGATATGTTTATTGATTTTGAAAGAGAGAGAGACATCCATTGCACCCAGATGGGATCGAACCCACAACCTTTTGGTGTATGGGACAATGCTCCAGCCTACCTATCCAGCCTGGCCAGGGCCACACCTTTAGTGCTTTCTTCAGAGCATGCTTATAAGTTCTGCCTTCCACAAAACACTAGAATACAATTCTTTCCCCCCTTTTTTTTACCACTTCCTTTCACTATCCAGTATTATGTTTAAAGTTCAAGGCTATCTAGGTTTTTTATTACGTGCACCTCAAAACTTTTTGGCCTGTCTATTACCCAGTTTCAAAGCCATTGCCACATTTTAGGTATTTGTTACAGCAACCCACTTCTCGGTACCAATAGATGAGTCACGGTTCTCCAGAGAAACAGAACCAATAAGACGTGTATATATAGAGGTTTCTTTTAAGGAATTGGCACATGTGATAGTGGAGGTACATCTCCAAACCCTGCAGGGTAAGCTGTCGGGCTTGAGAAGCAGGGAAGAGTTGCAATCAGTCTGTTCCATTAAGGCCTTCAGCTGATTGGATGAGGTTCACCTATATCATGGAGGCTGATCTTCACTCTTCATTGTCCACCAATTTAAATGTGAATCTCATCCAAGAAACATCTGTACTTAAACATTGAGAGTAATGTTTGACCAAATATCTGGGCACCATGACCTAGCAAAGTTGACACATAAAATTCATGTTTACAGTCCTTATTGCAGTTTTCATCTCTTCCTTTTGTAGGTCCCTCGACACGTCAGCTTTCAAGATGAGGATGAGATTGTCAGAATAAACCCTCGAGATATCTTAATCCGTCGCTATGCGGACTACAGGCATCCTGACATGTGGAAAAATGACTTGGAGAGAGATGATACTGACTCCAATATTCAGTTTTCTAAACCAGACAGTAAAAAATCAGACTACCTGTACTCTTGTGGGGATGAGACTAAGTTAAGTTCATTCAAAGACTCTGTGGTATTTAAGACACAGCCTTCCTCATTAAAATTTAAGAAGTCAAAACGAAGAAAAGAAGATGGTGAGCGTTCTCGCTGCGTATACTGCCAGGAAAGGTTTAATCATGAAGAAAACGGCAGGGGGAAGTGCCAGGATGCTCCAGACCCTATTAAAAGATGCATCTATCAAGTTAGTTGCATGCTCTGTGCCGAGAGCATGCTGTATCATTGTATGTCAGACTCAGAGGGAGACTTTTCTGATCCCTGTTCATGTGACACTAGCGATGACAAGTTCTGCCTACGATGGTTAGCCCTGGTAGCTCTTTCTTTCATTGTACCATGTATGTGCTGCTACGTCCCTTTGAGAATGTGCCATCGTTGTGGGGAGGCATGTGGGTGTTGTGGTGGGAAACATAAGGCTGCTGGATGAAAAGGATCTAGGGCCAAAATGAGTTTAAAATCTTTGTTTCCAGGCACTAGCTAACTTGGATTTGCAGAAGCTTTCGGCAAGCAACATGAAATCTTGCCTGGTGTCATAGGGGCCACGCGTGGAGGAAGCAGCACTCGTCAGTTCTTGGCATTTCACAAATGCCAGCCATGCCTAACTTTTCCCTTGAGTGCATGGCACGTTTTGTTACAGGTTGTAAAGTGTATTTGCAAAAGGAAACCATTTCTGGTTATTGGCTATAAAAAGGGATCATAAAATATGATCTGACTAAAAGGGATTAATTTTTGGCATTTTTGTATATTTATGCATTAGGTGATGGGACTTTTAAAGGTTTGAATTCATTAGGACATGAACTAAAAGTGCACTAGGGAACAGCTGATTTCAATCTAAGAAAAGTTAACACTTGGAAATTATAAGAAGTTAAACAAGTGCACCTAAATCATTTATTGTTTTTTGAAAGCAGTTTTATGTATAAATAACAAATGTTTATATTTAACTAAATACAAGGTACGAATTATGACATTAAACTTTTCTTCCCCTTCCTAGTTCTGAAGTAGATGTACATATATCTACGGTCACATTCCATTATATTTTGCATATTTTACTCATCTAATTAATATAACATTTTTATTCCATGTGAATGATTTGATATTTCCATCTTTGTTTCCTGTTGGCTACGGTTTATGTTGAGTTCTATCTGTACATTCTGGTAATCTAAAATTCTTTAAAATATTCTAATAGCCTTGAGTGACCAACTTTTTTTTAAAGCACAGATATAATCGTCTAATGTTCTGATGGGAACGTAACACTTATTTTTATATAAAAAGAGATTGTGTAAACATAGAAAAAAAAGAGGTTTTGGGGGTTGTTGTTTTGTTTTTTGTGGTATTCAACCAGCAAGTTGTTTTCTTTCAGAGTTTCCTCCTTCAAAAAATTATATTGCATTTACAAATATGTCACAAGACAAAGAAGTGTAACTGGATGGTTAGTGTAAAAGTTTCCTCCTAAGATCTCCGTTTATCATTCTGCTAACCCAGAATTCGTTCAGCTGTGTTACTAATTTTTTTAGCTTAATCCTCAGTGCTCATTATTCACATAATACCAGTAGCTTTTTTCAGTTGCATTTTATTTTATTTAAACCAGCCAAAAGCAAAATTATTTTATGTTAAAGTATGTGCTAAACTATCCCAGGAAAGTATTTAATCCAACATTGTGAATGAAATACTTTGTACATAAAAATTTATTTCTTTTGCAGAGCATTGTATCACTGGATGTTTTATTTACAAAGTAGTTGGATAAGCGTTCCAACAAATTATTTAAAGTACTTTGGGATCAAATTGTCTTCTTTTTTTTTTTTAACTGTTACATTTAAACTCTAATCAAGTAAGGGTTCTTTAAGAACATTCCCTTAGAGGGATCAAGTTGAGAAGCGTGCCTTTCTTTTTAATGGCTTGAAGTTTCAGAAGTGATAAACATTAAAATCACACTACCATTTGAAGCTCATTTTCTATGCACGTTTTTAAATGTCATTTATGTTTCATTCTTTTTACGTTCACACTTAAGCTTGTGTTAGCTGTCTTCTTTTGCCCCAGATCAAACTGAACAATGTATATAACACTATCTGTCTGTAAAATACTTTTTTTAAGAAAGCATTTATATTTATATGACAGCTTGAACTGACAACATTGTGTATATAGATCATCTTGAAGTATTATTTCACATTGAAAAGAAGAAAAATATATTGATAACTATAGATGTTATGAAGAAGAGGTTATTTCTAGTTTTGTACTAAAAATCAATTGGATGAACTAAATCCAAACGTGACACTGTCGCAGCAGTTTTAAGTCTTATTTTTACTGTTTATATATTTGGACGCTGTTGCACCAGATGATCTTCATCCCTGAAGTTTTCAGCTAAACTCGGTTACCTAGAATAGACTGTTAACTTTCAAAATTACTTCTTACTGATGGAATGGAAATATTGATTTTCCTTATGAATAAATTTTCATATTTGTAAGTGTGGAGTTTATAATTCAGGTTTGAGCAAGGTGTGAATAACTGAAGAAAATAACTTGCTGGCTATATAGGAAAATCTGTGGAAATGGACTGTGTATATATTTCTGGGGAGAACAAATATAATCATTTCTTCTGTTAAGCACTAATCAGTATAGTGCAACTCCTGGTTCTGTACTGTATTTTATATGCAACATATATGCTTTAATATTTTAATGTTTGTGCATTAATATTTTCAAATTGTTTTAACCACTTTGCTGCTAAGATTTTGCCGTCCCATCCCCATTTTTTTCCTTTACAATTTTAAACAAGTTTCTTCATTAAAAACGATGGTGATAAAATGGTTTTATTTCACCTTGGATCTTTATAGTTAACACACCCAGTTTCTAAATTGGTCTAGAAAACTAGTAACATGTTATCTGAATCCCTATGTGGAAAGTTTCTCTTGAGTAAATTAGAATTCGTATGTGAAAAATAAAGGGTGGTTTAAATTTCTTGCTCTAACGTGTATAGGTATGTTCAGGGACATTTTCTCGTTCTGCATACAGATTTGGCACTGCACTGCCAGCTGGCTTTTCTAAAACCTTTCTCTGTTTTTAATCTGGTAGTTTAAGCAAATGGCTAAACAGAACTGCTTATGTAATAGTAAATATGGAAAATGAAATCATCTAGATGGCATGACAAGAAAGACTTTGGTCTGATGGTGTGTTGTGTTCAGACCTGATAATTCGGAAATGATTTTTCTCCTGCCTTGAAGGTGGGGGGCTAGTGAGGGAATCTCTAGGTTTCTGAAGAAATAATGAGGTGTGGAACTTCAGCACCACCTACTGGATGATTTATAGGCCAGAACCGTGAGGTAGCAATTGGGGTCTGACAGGGTTCGTCACTATTACCTGTAAAGGGCTATTTGAGTGGTGGTCACGGCCAAGCGGAGAAAGCAGGAGTAAGATCTATATCTCAGACTATAAAAGGAATATTTTACCTAATGTGTCTTGTTGGTTGCTGAAAGATTTTAAGCACTTTTTCCTCATATATCCTGAATTAAAATATTTTATTGATATTTGGAACTGGCAATCAATTTTAATTAATGGATGTGCCGAAGCATTTATAGAACCAATTCTTTTAACTTTCTAAAGCCATTACCAAATGGTATTCTTATTTTTCCTCCCATTGCTAGTCAGGGAGAATTTTTAAAAAAAATAAACATCAATTACATTAAGACAACTTTAGAGGGAGTATGTGTTTATGTCTCTGGGATGCTGGGGCAGGGGAAAACTTGAAATTACCTATTTTCATTGGTTATTCAGCAGTGCCTAATATGAACTTTTGAAGTAATACAAATGCACTTTTAATTCTTGTTATAGTGCCATCTGATATCTTAGGTAAGTCTTGCTTTTTCTTTTATTTTTCTTCCCCATCCTCAACTCCAACCCCCATTTAATTGAACACCACAAAGATGTTTCTTAATATCCATACAAGTCTCCCAAATACAGAAAAGTATTTTCCTCTATATTTAAAGAATCTGAAGGGTGTTTCTTATATTGAAATTTGTTTTTAGTCTTGTGATTACACTTTAGACTATGTATTTAAGAGTGGGTTTTTAATTTTAGCCCAAAGATGCATTAAGCAAGTGTAACATTTTTCTAAAAACTTTGAAACCTTAGTTACCTGAAAAACAGATTCTTCACTAAATATCTTGTTCTTAATTTGACCTCCAGAATTACATTTCTAAGTATAAGAGAAATTACTGGAAACTTGCATTGTTGTGTACTTAAACATTTTTTGGTCTGTAAACCACCATGAGATATTTTGCAGGAAATCAAAACAAAAAAGAAATCACAACCTGGAGTGATTTATATAAACCAAAAACAAGGGCTTTAAGGTATTAAGGTACTGTTTGCTAGCAGCCAGGTGGTTATAAACCTTTCATATGCTTTGATTCACTGATGTTAGCCATTGTTTCTGGAAGCTCCGTAAATTGCATAAGTTGCTAGTTTTGAAAATTTTCAAAAATAATCTAGTCGAAAATCTTATGTATTAAAGATACACATAGATTTTTGTGAACATTACCAGTATGTAGTGTCATTTGCTTTCTATTCTTGACCTCAGAAGTGCCTCACTTGTATATTACTTCCATTAAAAGCTTGACTGCATTCTTTCTAATAAGCATTGAAGTATTGTTTAACTCATGTCATAATGTATCTCCTTAGATATAGTTGACTAGCTTGGTAGTTTTGGGTATATAATGTAAATATGCATATATAAGTTTGTAACTGTTTTTGTTACATCATACCCATGTAATTGGACATATCAGATGATATCAAATAATTTGTTTTCATTACCTGATTAAACCTATCATGAAATATAAAAAGACTTTTTCTTACTCTTCTAGAGGATAACAAACTCACGTAAGAAATAATAATTATGAGAGGAGGAAGCAATAGTAGAAATGGAAGCTTTTGATAATAATTTTGTAAGGTATATTTTTAACTGAGAATTAAAATATAGTTCATCTTAATGACTTACATATTCACCCTTGATTGTATCCAGATTTTTTACAGTCTGTTACCTAATACTGTACATTATATTTATTGGTTGGGGAATACGTTACAGCTAAGTCTAGATTAACCACCTTAACTGGTAGGTGAGACATGTTTAACCCAAGACGGCTACCAATTCTTTTTGTGTGTCTCCTAGTAAGTTTCAAAATTTGGCTTAACTTGTAATATAAACAAAGATAGCCAATAATCTAAATGAAAAATTATTGGGATATTACTTAAAATCATAGTGTATTTCAACACCAAAATAACCATTAGCTTACTATAATACAGTTGGATTTGTTTGAAATCAAAAATTAACTGTTTATACCTTTAACCATGAATTACGAAATGTAATCTCATGTGCTTATTTACAGGTTTTTCAGAAATTTGCTTTATAGTCTTCCCCTCAAGTTAATACCCACAAGTAAGTAGGATGGTCTTCACATCAGAGAAATTGAAACTAGGGTTCCTGCTTGGTCATCAGTTAAGTATCATGTACACAGTGGTCCTTTGAAAAAAGTCGATAGTAATATGAGATCTGGAGTCAACTCATTTAAATTAGCTGCTCTAAATTTGCAGTTTCAGACCCTTGAAATGATGTTCAAAAACATAATTCATAATAAAAGTCTAACTGCAAAACATAGGTGAAATGGTGTTTTGTCTAGCAATCTTTATTTTTGTTAATGTATTTTAAATGATCACTTTCAATCCTCAAATAACCCTATATTGTATTATCTTCATTTTACTAAAGAGGAGATTTAGGTTTCAAGAGGTTAATAAATATTCCGAAAATCTCTTTAGAGGCACCAGGATTTGAAATTTGCTTACTCCAAAGTCATATTTTAGTCACAGTGCATTTTGCCTTTTGTTACAAAGGTTACTTTTATAGAATAAGCATTGTTTTGTTCAAATGCAATTTTTTAAGGGAATACTTTCTTAATTTCCAGTCACATTTGTTTCATTTCTGGGTTCGCTTTTTATCTATCTTACTAGGTTATGCACTATCCATCATATGGCACGTGGAGATCCATAAAATTGGGATGATGCTTCAATATGTATCAGTTGTATGCTGATCCAATAGAAAGCACTAAAGACATTTTATATATATATTTTTTTCTTTTTTTTTTTTTTGTGGTATTGTTCATCTTGCCCAATTGGTATTTTGCTAAAGACTTTGAGTCAGAGGGATTCTTTTTCACCCAAGCATTGGTACTTCCTCTTGAGATAGTAGGGGGGAAATGCTCTCAAATGAGTCTTCTGTCTTCTGTCCTGTTTGTTTTCAAAGGGCCAGCCGCTTGTACATCAGTTATCCCACAAAGCCTGCCTTTGAACCAAAGTTCCATTTGCACATGTGTCAGAATGATTAGGTTAGTGTCCCCTCCTCCCCCAAACTTAATTTTAACCTGGAAATAATTTGTAGTAACCTACAGGCTGTGTGCAATTAGGAAAGAGGTTGGACAGAAAGAATTCCAGAATTTCTAATACTGAAATAATTCTTTCTGGACAGTGAAACTTAAGGAGACCTCTGTAGCTTTTGTCCCCATTGCTTCTTAATTTTGCATTTCAAAATTGCAAGCTATTTATTTATATCTTTTACTTTTGAAATGGGATACAGAAGATCTTAAATATATTACTTAAGTATATTACTAACATAAACCTCTTTTTGTGCCCTCTATATTTTCTTCCCTCCTTTCCTCAGTTATAGGAATACTAGAGGCCCGGTGCACAGATTCGTGCACAGGGGAGGAGGGTTCCCCTCAGCCTGGCCTGCGCCCTCTTGCAATCGGGACCCCTCGGGGGATGTCCGACTGCTGGTTTAGGCCAGGCTGGCATGCCGGGATCGGGCCTAAAGCGGCAGGCGGTCAGGGAGGAGCCCCAGCCGAGCGCTGCTAGCATTCATCCCAGCCCACTGTGCCTGCAGCCGCTGCTTGGTAGCACTGCCAGGACAGCTGCGCTCGCCAGATATGAACCCCACTTCTGGCTAAGCAGTGCTCCCCCTGTGGGAGTGCACTGACCTCCGGGGGCAGCTCCTGCACTGAGCGTCTGCCCCCTGGTTGTCAGTGTGCATCATAGTGACTGGTCGACCGGTCGCTTAGGCTTTTAATATATACAAACATTTCTCCAAAACTAGGAGGGGAAGAATTCATGGAGAAGAAATTTCAACAGTTTATTATAATTATTTTTTTAAATTATTGTATTCTGGAGAAAAGCCAGCGAGCCTAATTGTGTTTTTCATCGGTAGGGGAAGCCAGTGTGTCGCCATCTTAAAATTTAAGAGAAAACAAAGTTTTATGAATCCCTTAGCTTTGGGATAGTTCCGTGGTCAGCAAACTGCAGCTCTCGAGCCACATGCGGCTTTTTGGCCCCTTGAGTGTGGCTCTTCCTAAGCCTTAGGAGTACCCTAATTAGGTTAATAACAATGTACCTACCTATATAGTTTAAGTTTTAAAAATTTGGCTCTCAAAAGAAATTTCAATCGTACTATTGATATTTGGCTTTGTTGACTAATGAGTTTGCCGACCACTGGGATAGTTTAATAGTTCTTGTTAAATTGCCAAAGTAAAATGCACATGGCATATACTCCAGAATTTTAAGAAGGAAGTAGGAATTCAACCCAAATGACTTAAGATTACTGAAGAAGTTGATTTTATTGATGTTTTAGGGCTGGGAGACATCTTTGAGATTATAAATACAACACCCTTATTTTGCAAATGTAGAAACAGGCCCAAGGAGGCTATGATATTAGTGCAAGGTCATAGTAACAACCTGCACATGTAACCTGTACATCCAACTACCTGAGGCGCATCTCTTGCAGACCCCTCAAATTCAATATGCCCCAAGCTGATTTTCTCTATTCTTTAAACTTTTTTTCCTTTTCTCTGTCTTGATAGATGGTGGCACCATTGCCCTTCTAGTAGTCTAAACCAGAAGCTTGATTGTCATCCCTAATTTCTATTTTTCCTCACTTTTCACCATTGATTCTCCATTTTCTGCAGTTCTATTTCCTAATCCAGTGTCCCTCAAATCTGTCCATGTTCCCGTCTGCCCTCACTGCCACTATCCTAGGAGAAGTCATCTCACACTACTGACGTTGGGGATTTGGCATTGAATCACTTGGGCGTCGGTTTTTAAAGAGATGGTTTATATTTTAAAGAATTGGAAGGTGAAAATAACTTAAGACTGCAACAAAATGGTAATAAAAAGTTGAGATCTTCAGAGTCCAATATCCCCAGGTTCAGACAAAAATGATTTGTGGTAGGATTGAGGAATCAAGGGATGGTGACTTTAAAGACTAATCCAACATCTAGAACCACCTAGAGAATTAAGAGTAACTTGAACTACAAAGTGCAAGCTTATAGAGATGATCAACTTTAAGCTATTTATATGTTCACCTTTTCTCAAACCCATTCCCTTTTTTGCATGAGGTAAGCTTGTTGTCTGTTGTGGTTGTGGTGGTGGTTTTCTGAGAGCTTGGGTAAAGAAAAGAATCCATTACTGGAAACCTTTGAAATCTTACTGTTAATAGTATTTTAAGTAAATCAATAACTCCATAAGCAAGTGAACCCATATTTAAAAGATTTTCTTTGCTTTTTACAAGTCATTCTTCCCTTAGCAACATCAAAAACTGACTACCTAGTATAGATTTCCCCTCTTGAAGGTCACAGCTCCAGACAAGGCTGACTACTTCAAGGATGTTGGACAGGTAGACATTGTATTTATATTTTTATAATTTTTTTAATCCTTACCTGAGGCTATGTTTTGTTTTGTTTTGGGGAGGGCGGGGGTGTTTTTTGTTCATTTTTTGTTTTTTAATGAAAAAGCCTCAGGGAGGGAGTGGAAGCAGGAAGCTGTTGGAGAAGTGTGGGCAGGACATTCGCTGACCAGGGATGGAACACACAACCTTTTGGTGTATGGGACAACGCTCCAACCAACTGAGCCTCCAGCCAGGGCTTGGGCAGGTACCATTTTAGGTATATAGTCAAGGAAGACCATGCAAACAAGTGGGAAAAGAAATAATCCAGGTTAAAGGAAGAGCAAGCAGTGCAAAGGCTCTGAATAGAAAGAAGCTTGGTTTAAGGAACAGCAAGAAGACTAGTATGACTGGAGGGCAGTGTGAGGCAGCTCATGAAATGAGGTAAAGTCACAGAGACAGCAGGTGCCAGATCTTGTGGGGACTTGAGGTCATGGGAAAGAGTTTGGATTTTATTCTGAGAATGATAATAGAAATCTACTGAAAGGTTTGAAGAGGGTCATTTCATGGGCTAGCTGCTAAGTGGCTTTTTTTTTTTTTAATAGAAAACCCAATTCTGGTTTCAGATGTTGGGCTGCTATTGCCTCAAGCTTTGTCCTGACTTTTCTACTGAAATGCTCTCCCCCACCACTTCCCTGTTTCTAAACCTGATGAACGTTTCTTAGACATCATTCACCGAGCAGCTTTTGACGGATTCTTTGCTCCTTTGGTACTACGCCATCCTGGTTTCCTCCTGTTCCACTGGTTTCTCCTCTCTGCTAGATCCTTCTCCTCTTTCCTCGGTATGGGAATCAATTCTCTTTTCTAGCAACACTCCCCTCTGAGGGGATCTCAACCAGTCCTCGTTACCTGTCCTAAATAGACCGCTAGTAACCTCATTTAGATCTAATTGGCCTCCTCTTGGATGCCTTGTATTTCAATTGTAATAAGGCCAAAACAGAACTCTTGATTTCCCCCTCCAAATGTTCACTACCAGCCACGTTGCTTAAAGAAATGTTCAAAATTTGCAAAGTTGCTTGAAGAATTACTGTCTTTTCTCATCAAGAGACTCATCGATTGCAGATCTACACAGGGGTCACG